CGCTTGTATTTACTGGGCATATTTCTTCCTGCTTTAATATTTAGCATATGCTTTATAGGAGCTACCTATATAGAAAATTTGAATACTTTCCAAGATGAATAAGACTTTCTCTGTTACAGTCTTGAGGTTCAGTTTAATGGGAAGGAACCATAGCTTATTTACAGAACACATATTTTACATATTTACATTTCCACACTCAGTCCCCTAGAGGGGAGATCTCTTTAGCATCTTCCATGTTTAGTCCCCAGCATTTCCAGTTAGATTCCAGGACCAGAAATCACCTCTAGCTGAGACCATGGAGGGCTACTGCTGGCCAAAGTACTTAATACTGGGAGAGATGAAACACATGAGTTGCTTGAATTCATATAACTAACTCTTGCTTTTTTCTGCATTTCCCCTCTGAAATTAAACTTGACTGTTATTGGACTTTCTGCACAATTTTCCACTCACATAGATGTTGAATTTGATAGTGTTCTGGTCACTGTTTCTAAGTGGTTAGAGATGTCTTGCACCACTCTTGCTCAGGGAGCTTATTTTTACATTACATAGTAAAAGTTAAAATATTCTGTAACAAAATGGAGAATAAAAATAATCTCTTGTGACAAGTTTTTTTCCCCCTTCTGGTTATCTGCAAAGTGTACGCCCATTGTCAGTTTAACAGGGTAGTGCTTGTATAAACATTCTTGTTTCGCCTGTTCCATGTAATAGTTTCTTGTATCGTATTTCTTCTGACCCCGCTATCTGAAACCAATTATAGGAGATCCATTTGGGCTGCATCTATTTTCATAAGAAGCCCAGGCAGCAGAGATGAATATCAACATCAAATATGATTCTGAGTGCTTTGTTATTTATGTTTCAGAGAGATTTTGTAGCCTTCAGCTCTCAAGAATGTGTCACGCTGTGCTGTTTATACATTGAAGATATTAATGGCCATAGATGTCATTTTTCATTTTAACATCTCAAATGCAACAGGCTGATAGGTTAAACATTCCTGTTTTTAAAGGAACAATATGAATGACATCTGTTTCCTTTTAGAAAAGGTAGAAAATGAGAAAGAAACAACACATATAAATTTTAAAGAAACTAATCTGTTTGTATTAAGTAGCTGCTTTAGTATCTCTGAATTATTGGAAAAATGCATCATTAGGCATTCTAATAAGTAAAAATGAAGCACCTTGAATATATGTGTGTAACAGGTGTGTGTGTTAGTGTACACATGTTCTCATTTGTTCTCTCTCTCAGTGTCTGATTCAAATAGCAGAGAATCTGACTTGCTTAGAACTTCTAGAAGCCTTAATTAAATATATTGTGATTATGTCATTAGATTTTAAAGCTACCAAATAGAGTAAACGTGTTTGTATTTTGGTTACAAGTCTTAGCAGTATCTGTCCAGGATCACAAAGTATATAATTAAAATTCTGGGTGATATTTTATATCTGTTGTTGTTATTTTTATTTCAGATCCTTTATGGCTTTCTTTTAATCCATTATACTTTCTACTATAATTCTACTGAATTAGATTAAGTAATACATACTTCTTAATTTTAAAATACTGTTACTCAAGTTTGAATGTTTTGACCTCTGCACAAACCTCAAAGTTGTTGTTCGTTTGAAGATCAGCTGCAATATATTTCACTAACACTTTTTACCAATTAATTTTATAAGACAAAGAGATGTTCATATGACTTGACAGAATTTTAATTTTGAAAGATGCACTATTCCCATCATATGCCAAAGCAATGGCAATTTCCATATATTGTTCAAATAATTTATCATGGATTTAACATAAGCAAATAAATCAAGAGAGATGAATATCTTGAATTCTCCTAGTTCAAATAGTGCCAACATCCACGTTGTTTAAGCAACAACACACTATGTGTTTGCCAAGAACTAGTTACGAAATGGAACACCCTTCAGTGGAAAAGAAGTACCTACAAAACAGACTTCCTCAACTTGCCATTCTCTAGCTGGGTTTGGCTGGGACTTCCAGTACCCTACATGGAGATGAGCTGTAAACCAACATGTCTGGAGGGCTCCAGGCTGAGCAAGACTGTTGTAATTCCTGGCATTGTCAATTATGCTTCCTTATGAGTTAAATTGGAACCTTCTGAAATTATTTCATTTTCAGCCTTGGTTTAGTTACTTTAATTTTCATCACACTGTGAACTAACTGAAATATACAGGTTGTCACTATTTTTTAAACTGAAGGTATACTGTAATTAAAATTTCTGCAGCAGAGGATCTGGATGGATTTCCCTAAAACAAGAGAAGGGCTGTAGTTCAGCATTAGAACTAATGCTTTGCATATCAATTGTCCCTGGCAATCCTGAGCAGGTTCTCTCCCTAGTATGCTGCTGAGACATTGCAGGTCCATTTGGACAATATTGCATAAAATGGATCAATGATCTAACTCAGTATCAGGCATATTCCTAATCTTCCTTTTCATGCAGGTATTTAGTATGGTGTTCTGCTTTCCCTTTATATGAGGCTCACCATCTTTTGTACTGGATGAGAATTATGCTTCTTCAGCTATACTTCTTCAATAACTATTAGATATATGTTGGTAAATGTATCTTCCTTAATGCTAAGACTGTGCTCCCGCTACTTGGGGCTCTTGGAATGTACTTCTAAGTGTGGCGTATTGCACTTATTCTTTCATGTTCATTCTTTCAAAGAAGTTTCAGGGATGAGACTACAGTTTGGAAATAAGATTAGCTTATTTTACAGTAAGCCAACTTGTTTTAAAAGATGTTGTAACATGGGTTACAATGGCTTCCTGTAAACCGTTATTTTTAAATAGGGAGATAGTTTCAGGTATGCAAATCACGGTTGTGAGTGAATCTGATTAACATTAGCCATGATTAGTGAAGATGAACATACAGCTTCAAGCTATGTTCAGCCAAGAAAAGTCAGTTAAAATCAGACTTGAAGGAGGAGGAGTGCATATCCCTGAGACTGGGCTCCGATTTGCTGTGAGCTATTCTGCAAGATAAAAGAGATGGAATAGGGAACTGTCTAGCTGTACTTGTCACCTCATACTGCTTTATAAGCTCGCTGTCCTGTCCCTGGATTTTGCTTCCAGACCAACAGTTTCACATTATCTGCTGACTTTAGTTACACCATATCATTCCAAAATAATTCTGGTATAACAATCTGTTGCTATAAATAAATACAAGCTGGTTATTCTAAGCAGACCTCTATCTGGGCTCAGAAATAAATGCCTTTCCTTTGTGAGCTTTCTCGGTAGGATCCTCTCTTAAAAATCAATTGCTTTTAGATTTAAATGAACTGGTTATCACTAGTTATGATTCAGAATGATATGACTTTATGGTGTTCATACTGATTTGCAATTACTTAAGAACCCCCTTTTTAAGGATTCTTGTAAGTACCTTTTTGCCTATGTTGAAAGTATGTTCTTCAGATGTGTACTGGTGCCTTTTACAGGGAGACAAATCTGTGCTCTTAGGAGCTGGTGATAGTGCATGCAGTTTGTTTACTTTGGTTTGCTGTGTCTGCCTGCCTTCTCAGAAAACTTGCATGGAGCCAGACTGTAGCAGCCCTCTCTCTGTCTTTTCATAATTGATCAGGGGATGACTGCTTTCCCTGAGGGTTAAGACGTGGCAACTTTTTCTGTTTGCTCAGCATCTCAATGCAGTAGTTCAAACATTGTTCACACCAGCTGGCAGTGTAATGCCATATGCACATCTTGTCAAAGCAACTGTTGTCATGGATACTGGAAACTACCTTAAAAACGAGCTCATTTGAGTCTAATCAAAACTATACCTTTTTTTATCATTTTGGTGGTGATTTTAGGGTGAATAGGTTTGGGTAATATTTCCCAAATAATATTTTAGATAGCTGTCTTTATACTATAGAAAATGCAAGATATAGATTAATATTTTCAAATAACAGAGTTGTAAATTGCTGATTGCTACGGGACAGAAAAGTGAATTAACAATGCAATTCTAGGCTTGTCTACTCAGAAATAAGTCTCTTTCAGTTCAATGGGGCTTACTCCCAGGATATAGGATTTTGCTATGAGTAGGCTGGAGGTGTTTATGGTTCATTTTCAATGGTTACTTAAGAAAGAAAGAAAGAAAGAAAGAAAGAAAGAAAGAAAGAAAGAAAGAAAACTTCTTGATCATCCATATTACTTGTTCTTCTTGTGTAAACTACATTTTCAAGTTAGTATTTCCCTTTCCTCTTTTTCCTTTGAGTAATTGGAATTTGCACAGTACATATACTGCACATATACAGTTATTCTGCTCAATTTTATTTTTATTAATTCAAAAGAATATATCATACACACACACACATACACAAATGTTACTGTAGTTTGATTGCAGTGCTATCACTCACAGAAGCTAATCTGATTGGCTAAGTAGTAATTTCTTTGTTCTCAGAATTTACTAAGAATGCAAATGACAGCCACTTAATTTTATTTGGCATTAAAACTCCACTTTATTTTGTCAAACGAGAGGTTTCCCTTAAATTGTTACTACAAAAAAGTGTTTTTAATCTTCAATGAATATCCTTATTAATTCACTTTCAAGATAATCTGATGTTGATTCGTCAAATTTAATTACAGCTTCCGGTAACACTTGAAGTCTACTGCTTTTGCTTAAAATTGTAATATGAAAATGCAAATTAAATGATGATTTACAAGGGTGTGAGCATTTTAGCTGAACACTTAAAGACTAGTTCCTTGTGGAGATGAGGCCATTGATGCGGTTTATGATTTTTCCTCTTCAAGCACTTTATACAAATTAATGCCATTTCCTTGAGGATTTGTTGCATATATATACTTTTTCACAATATCTGCAATAAGTACTTTCTGTGGATTTTTCATGGTGTGCAAAGAAAACGTGAAATCTTATATTTTCAAATTGTATAGGGGGGATATCAGGTTTTGATTGAAAGTTAATGTTAGGCAAGTTACAAGCAATAACCTTTTCAATTACATATTTAAAGTATTTATTTCTATATTGTCTTTACTTTCAGGCACTGCAGGCAGCCAGACAGCTGCTATTACAGCAACAGACAAGTGGGCTAAAATCTCCTAAGAACAGTGATAAACAGAGACCACTACAGGTTAGTAAAGCATCTTTTCATCTGCAACCTCATTTCAAAGGAAAGGCATTCATGTGCATCTATATACACAATTGTACTTTGATACCTTCTTGAATGCGTACATTTTCATGAAACACTTTGACTTGCATATTGTTAGTGTAATTAATTAAGAAATGTTGTTATACAAGATTAAGAAGCCCTTTTATATTAGCTTGTATTGGCTTAAAAGGTTACACAGTTTAAGCAGAAGTAGCTTGAATACAATAGTCGCTTTCTATAGATAACTAGAGAAGTTTGTGCACATCCATCAGTCTAAATAGATTATAACCAAGTTTCAAATTTTGGTCAGCTGGAAAGCTTTCAGAACAATTATTTGAATATGCAAAGAGCACCCCCCTGCTCTTAGAACAATGTATTTTACTGTATTAATTGTGTGTTGAGTATTTCCCTCATATTCTGTAAGAGTCTGAAAGGAATGCTTTTTTCATGTACTTAAGGTATTATTCATAATATTTAATAAAAAATACAGTTTATACATGTAAAATCTTGTTAAACCAATGAGGAATTTGGGTTGTGGTGTATTCTTTATGTTTGTTTTTAGATGGCTTAGAAAAAGAAATGGAGATAGCCACTGCTGAATATAGCTAGTACTGACTTGTTTTATGTGACTCAAATATTTGGTATTTCACTACTGAAATGAATAAGGTGCTTATATGTAAGTATTCCTGGGAATAAAAATAATGCTGCTCTTTTCTTCACAATAACAGCCCAAGGGTTTTTTAAATGTTCTTTCATAAGTATATAGAAGGTATTCCGTGTGATACTATGGTTTCTAAACAGTTGTTTGAGTGAATTCTGGGTTTTATTTTCTTTAAACTAAAAGCTGATTGAAATGTTACAGACTCTACCTACAGGCTGCCAAAAACTGCTTCTGTGTGACTCTGCTTCATGTGGCATCTGAAATGTTTGAAAGCCTCTAACCATGTGGTCTGCCCTAATCACAGGGAGACTCTTTATGCCTTTGCCATACAGTTCAGATGGCTGGTGGTAGTGGCATGGGGAGCTTCCATGCAATTAGATTACATTACGTGGGAAGTTGTTTTCAAATGCTTACAGCTGCCACATGGAATGCTACATGTGGAAATGATTTTGGCAACTGCCATGTGAGGCCAAAATGAGAGGCAGAAAATGGCATATTTAGTAGGATGGAACAATTATTTTCCAGTTTCAATTCTTAGGTGAAGCTAGACATTTAGGTAGGGTAGAATCTCAGTCCTCAAGCTGAAAAAACACTTGTGCAAATATTAACTTCTCCAGTTTTCTTTGGCATCATTATTTCCCCTAGTTCAGTGTAATTTATCCTCATGGTTGCTGCATTTGTCTCTTTCCTGGATTAGTCACATGGGTGATTTTACCCAATCATGCAGTGAATGGGACTATGTCAAAATGCTGCATAACCACATTTGATTAACGCATCTTTTACAAATAAAGACAATGTAAATTAGTAATTTAATATTTTCTCAGGGATTGCTGAAAATCAGATGAAAACAAAAGAAATACTTGGCATAATAATATTGTTTTAAAACTGTGTGTAGTTTTCAGTCTCAAAGTGGTGTATTAAGATTCTACACTAGGCCTGCATAAGAACAGGTACTCAGAACTGAGGCTTAGAAACTCAAACTTATGCTAAGAACCACCTAACTCCAGTGGATCCATTCATATGTGGATGCTCCATTGCTGATTATCTTGGGTCATTCACAGATCACTATGTTGCTCTATGGACCTCTGAACTCTGTCCACCGGAGATGATAGCCTTGCTGTTGTTTCAGGATGAAAGATGTGAGTAAAGAGCCGCTGATTTTGCCAGTGTTGCATCTGCAATACTCAGTACAACGTAGCATCTGAAACGGCCTTACTTCAACCTCTCATTTACCCAGTGAACAAATAAGAGGTTAAAGTGGACTTGGAAGTTGTTATCCCAGGATAACAGACTATGTCAAAGCATTCAGGTGAATGAAAAAAGGAAAGGCTCTGGGCAGACCTCACAATAAACCATGGTTTATCATGGCTGGAGCAAACAACACACTTCGAATTTCACAATCTGCTTCCTCTTATTTCCTCTGGCATAGCCAGGTGGATCAATTTGGAAATGTTCACTTTCATTTTTTTATTTTAACCACAGCTAGTAATTTCATCTGAAACAGACAGCTTGTGACTTCAAACAACTATGGTTTGTTTGAAACAAACCAATTTCAAACCATGGGTTATGAAATGACACTAGCCAAGGGTTTTGACATAGTGCTAAATTGTGGTTGATAAAAAATGAAAGCAGATGCTTCCAGTTTTCTGGTTGCACAGCAGGAGGTATGTGGAGGGGAAATCCATGAGGCAGAGGCTCTTTGCTGTTAATTCATGTCATAATAAACCATAGTTTTATCATAATGTCTGAACACAGCTGGTTAGAAAAGAGGGAAATGAATAGGTTTACAGTTGCCTTGTTAATTGAGAAACAAGAATGGAAAAAATAATATCAAGGAATACATTATCAGATTATCCAAAGGTTTTAAATAGCAATTCAGCAAATGCATGAATGACTGATATGATAGGATTGTTTCAAGAAAGTGTAACTCAGTTTTAATCTTGAGGAAATGCAACTGCTAATTGTACTTTCAGGACCTGATCTGTGATAGAAAATGTTTAATCACAATGTGTATGCTTGATTGTAGATATGGGGACTATTTTGGTCAAAGTACTTTGTAATGTTAGCTAGGATTCCTAAATGTTTGTACTTACATATGTTGCATAGTTCTTGGTGTGTTCTTTTTAAAACTTATCTCTTTATTAGATTTATGTGTAACTAAAGTAGTATGAATTCTGATCTGAGCACAAAATGTTTTTAAACTCTGAGGTGTACACAGATATTTTGATAACACGTTCTTGGACCTGGGCTGTTTAGTATAGAGACTGGCATTGTTCATTGTGTAGTGGAAGTGAATATCTTGTGTTCTTTAATAGTGTTTTTAAACAGATCTCAGGGTCTGAAAACAGTATCTTCTAATTTGTAATGCCTGATATAGTGTTAACTTGTGGCAAACTTTTATAGAAATAAAGATTCATACATATAAAAGTCAGATATAGGAAGACCCGTGCAATCTTGCACTGCAGTCCTAAACACACATGCAGAGAGTAAGTCCCATAACTGCATAAATTGCATTTAGGAATTTTAAAAGTTCACCAAACTGGACTTTTGAAAGTAAAGTCCACCAAGCTGAATTCATGTTTATGTTCAGATTGTCTGTACCTAAGTGAACTGAAAGGACCAACATAGCCCATCATGCACTTAAAAGGTTTCACATTAGTATGTTTCTAATTTCCTCTATTTTGGCACAATTGACTGATCTGGCAAATGGAGACAGGTTGGAACTGCATTATAGGTCTAATAAAAAATCTAATAAAACTTTATACCTGGCTCACACATCAGCAAGCAAATGTGGGGAGCATTAGGTAATGTTTGCCATCACATCTCCTGTGCATACCATGTTTTCATTTAGAAGGGGAGCTTTTATATAAAATGGTATTTATTTCATTACTAGTTCCATTTGATGCATATTTTCTTTATTTTCTAGTTTTAGTTATGTTGGCAACTCCACCAGCTGAAAAAGACTGAAAGAGAAATATTCAATTGCAACATGGCAAATATAGGAGAAACCTTACAATGCAAGGAATTTTTCTGTGATTGGAAAAGCATATGCCTCTTTCTGAAGCAGCATGCTTTTCATGCACAGGAAAATTCATTTAACTGGGGCAACATCTCTTACCCATTAATATGCTATGCTATGCTGTGCTATGATGCTTGTAAGCCCCCAGACTTGGAGAATAACAAGCATCCCATACAGAGTGGGAGGAGCAGTAGATGCCACCTCTGCTTCCCCATTTTCCCCACTCTGCATTTATGTCATCTATCTGAGGCACTTGGGGGTGGGAGGCAATGAAGCTGTAGGGGACTTCACCTGGCCTCTGCTGTCCCTCCCATCCTCATCCCCTATAATGTCCCATGTAACCCCTTTCAGAGGTTGAATTGTCTGCCTCAGACTGGTAGCCAGTATAGTACTTTCTGTACTGACTGTGACTGGGACAGGGGTTGTCATCTAGATTTCAAGCTCCAAGGTTAGAGCTCAGAGCTAGGGATCCAGAGGATCCTGCGGCTTTTCTGGTGATGTTGAAGGGCCATAGGATCACTTGCTCCAGGTAGCTAAATTATAAAAAGTTGCCTTTATAATATTTTCCCCTTAGGCTATAGGTGGTAGTGATGATGGTGATTGATTGATTTCATTTCTATATCACTCCATAGTTAAAGCTCTCTTTCAGACAGATAAATGTTTTGAAAGATTACGCGGTTCCCATTAAGACAAAGCTTTGTTGTGTTGATAGTGTATTGATAGTGATGTATGGGTTAGCTGCTGAGTGTTATAGCTTTACTAAACTTTTAGAGCTTGTGCTTTAAAGATAAGTTTTGTAAACCTTGAATCTGACCCTGAAACTGAGTCTGTATGTGAGCCAGTAGTGTAGTAGCAAATCTATAAATGGGGGATCTCTTCCTGATAGATAGAGCAACACATCAAAGCCACATACCCCAAGCCACACCTTTTCTCCAAGATTATTTAACCTATGATTATTCAATAAAAATGAGCTTTGTCACTTTGTTTGAATTGCTGTTGAGTAATGAATGCAGGATGAGGGTACAGTGGTACCTCGGCTCACAAACGCCTTGGTTCACGAACAAATCGGGTCATGAACAAAAATTTCTGAAAAATTTTGACTTGGGTTGCAATCACTGCTTTGGATGGCAACCAAGATCACAGCCATCCTCCCCCCCCCCCAAGTGGAGAGATGGCCACGATCCCAGTTGCTTTGGTGCAGGGAAGGCATGCGTGATCAGAGGCACACTGCTGCAGGAAAGACAGGCGGAATCTCGGCTATCTCCCCCACGGCTCTGCTTTTCTGCTCATGTCTTTCCTGCA